CCCCCCCCCCCCCGTACTCCTTAATGGGGCTCAGTCAAAAACTGAGTTAGGTGACTAACCTATGTTGGTGTTTTCAGGATGTGGCTCTTAGCAGACAAAAGAAAAGGGATGGTATAAAATAAAATGTTGTTAAACATGCATCCAGCTCATTCCAGACCAACAGGAGTACTCTTTGCTGCAGTGTGTAGGAGAGATTAAAGTGAGGGATGGGGAAAGAAGATCAAAAATTGGACAAGGCAAGAAGGAAAATGAAAGTCTGAGGAAGGGTATTTTGTATATAGTAGGTGATATGATATCAAGTCAAATGCCTTACAAAAGATTAAGGGCCTTGTTAGGGCCTTGTTTCATGTTCATTTGGGGCAGCTTCTTAACCCCTGGATGGGCTGTATGTTAACACCTTTAAGTGGCTTAAAGCACTTGTTGTTCAGTCTAAAGTTATGCCACTGCAGGGAAGGATTATCCCTAATCCACATAACCTTGCCACTGTAGCCACTCTCCACAGCTGTTCCACCCACAATTAAGTCATCCACTATCTCAAGACGCGGTGGTCCTGTGGTAAAAATACATCATGACCTGGGCCTCTCTTGAGTAATAACCGTATGAGTCCCTCATGATCTCTTGTGTAAGAAGCACGAGGCCTAACGACTGAATTGTGTGTTTCTTTTTCCTTCTTGCTTGCTCTGCATTTTGTAACCATACTGGACTAATGCCCTGAAGTTACACTAAGGTATAAGGTTGCTAAAAGACATTAACTTTGCCGCAGTTCCCCTTTTCTTCTGCGCATGCGATAGAACTTTTTGCCGCAGTTCTGCTTTTAAAATACGCATGCGCTAAACTTGACAGGAGATACTAACCAATAGTGAACTAAGCCTCGCCCATAAGATAAGACGTAACAACAAGGAAATTGTGGTACTGCCAATAGTTGTATGACACGCTGTAACCCTTTGTTTATGTAAGCTATAAAAATGTAACCTCGAGAGAGGTTCGGGGTCAACACTGCTTAGAGCATCAGCTCCTCTGTTGACATTGCTTGCGCAATCAATAAACTCATGATGGACCCACCCTGTGTGTGACTCTCTCCTGAAGGTGGAATTGGTCTAGCCTCCAGGGGCACGAAACTAGCCGTTTGGGCAACAGTCCCTCCTGAGTTAGGGTGAGCAGAGATGCCGGGGCACAGCAGGGCCAGGCACAGCGCCTCTGAGCTGCTGTTCACCACAGCCCTGGAGTGCCTGGTGGCTCTAGTGTCTACTGCCATAGCCTGGGCTTTCTCACTGCTCCTGCGAGGCAGAGCATGTGCCACACCCCTAGAGCACACAGCAGCCATGGTGCATCCTCCCGTGGTCCGGAAAGCCTCACTGATCCCTCTGAGCACAGCAAGTGGCAGTCTGGACAGTGGCAAGAGGTAGCATGGTCACTGGGCGCTTCAGGGCTGCAGCTCTCTGCCCAGTGGGAGCAATGAGATGGTCCTGCCCCTAGCTCCTAGTTCTGTCCCTGCTCACCAAGCCACTTGTGGCAAGTCACAGCTGTGCAGATGCAGGACAGTCAAAGATGTTTTTTTGCCTAAGGTGTGACTGTGCCATTAAGCTGAACAATGCTAAGCTGATTAAAAGCTGTGTGTGGCTTACTGCATAAGATGTAACAAGGCCTTTACACATTAATTTAGTGTCTCCTGGAGCTTTGAACACCTGGATTGTTCATAAGTTAACCCCATGAACTCTACTGCCTGAGGCAGGGATGGGAAAAATATGGCCCATAGGCCAGAACTGGCCTCCCAGGCCATTCTGTCTGACCCACGGGGCCCCTTCAAAAGACATCTGTTACCGACTTGTGGCTGCCCCTCTAAAAGCCGGAGGAAGGTGTGGGCTTTCAGAGGTCATGCGCCATCAGGCCAGGCCAGCTCTATGCCTCAATCTCCACAGGGCTCTTAGCGCTCCAGCTTGTGCTGGAGGCACGATCCAGCCTGGAACAATAGTGCATGTCTCCTGGAACTCAGAGCTACAGGGAGCCATGCACAATCAGGCCAGTCGGGCTCCATGCCGTCATGTGCAGCTCCCAGCATTCCATCTGGGAACCGTGCGCCATTGGGCCAGGTGGGGTTGACTCCATGCCAGTATGTGGGGCTCCCAGCACTGCAGCTGGGAGCTGTGTGCCTTATGGATGGACTGGACCAGCTCTGTGCCAGCAAGTGGGGCTTCCCGCTGGAGTGCTGGGAGCCCATTGTGGAGGAATGGAGTTGGCCTGGCTCAATGGCGTGTGACTCCCCATGGCTCCTGGCATTTCAGTGGGGAGCCACACCATAGAACTAGTGTGTGATCATTTGAAAAAAGTAGACGTAAGTCAGTAGGACTGGATGAACTTCATTTGAGGGTGCTGAAGGAGCTGGCCTAAGTCATCATGGAACTGCTGGCAAAACTTTTCCAAAGCTTGCACGCAGCAGTGACTTCTGTCACCAACCCACACTGCCGCCACTCCACATCTGGCCGTGTTCCAAGATGGCAACCCTTGGCTCCCAAAAGAAATACTTCTGGGGGCAAGGGGAGGGACTTCTTGTGGCAAAGGTCAGGGGTTAGGGGGCAAGACTTCTGGTCTCAATATGCCGACCAGGGGGCGGGCATCTGTCAAAGAACAGAGCTACCCTTGCAACCCTCACCAAAATTTGTTAAACAACCTTCCAGCCAAAATGATTGCCAACCCCTGGCCTAGGGGTAGTTCTGGCACCAAGCCAGCTCCACCTCCTGCCTCTGGGGATGTGCCTTTCCCTCCCAGGGGTACAACTTCATGCAGTCTGCAGAGCACCTGCCAGCTAGTCAGGTCACAAGGTATGGACAAATCTAGGAGTGGGGTCTGGGGAGGGGGTGGAGAACAAGGTAGGCGGCCGGATCAGGTCCCTATGAGCTGGGGCTTCCTTCCCAGGGCGGGGGCAGTAGCTCCCCTAAAAGTGGCTTTCCTCACTGCTCCCACCTCCCAGTCACCCTGGGAAGCATGACCAGCACCCCCTGCACCCTACCCCAATCCAAATCCCAAGTTATTAAAATGTAAGGCCTTCTTTTATTTACTTCTTCTTTTTTTCCTTCTTTTTATTTTATCCTTCAGTGTCCGAATTGCTTAATTTCGCTGCCCCCATCCCATTCATCCCATTAACTCTGCCTCCCAACTTCAGTAGCAAGTCAAAGCTGTACAGGTGGGGGACAGTCAGAGAAGGTTTAGCCTTCTGCAAACTCCTGCTAGCACTAACACTGATCAACATTTGAGCTGTTCAAAGTGCAATGTGTAATGTACCTCACTTTTCCCAAGATACCCAAGCAGGTAAACTTGTATTCTCTTGAATCACACAAAACAAAACCTGTTTTTCCTTGGAAGGAATGTGGGCAAGGCAGCGCATCTGAGAGGCTTTCTCTAGTAAGCGTTTCATCCTGAGAGGATTGCATTTTCTTTCCAGCTCCAAAGCTCTAACTGGTGGTATTCCAAGAACTGGCAGTGCTGTTTGAGGGCGTGGGACATAAGTAATATGGTGATCAGTAACAGAGAGCACGCTGTGAAATGGGGATGGGGGACTTGATTTAAACCCCTTAACATGTCTCAAGAAGAGTGAGGTTTGTAGAACGTAGCTGGAGGCCACACACTGCTAGGTAGTTGTGTCTGCTGCTCCTTCTCATTGTTCTTATCTTACAAGACTCGACCTCTGAGAGGCAAGTTGCTGGCGGAGCAGTTTGCAGCCTCACTTGGTGCTGGGTTTGTTGCCGGCTGTAAGCAGAGGATCTGGTGGAGGGAGCTGGTTGGCCAAAGTGAAGATTCCAGGTCTGAGGAGTTGACTCTGGGTTGGGAGCTGAATGAACCAGAAGCCCGATTTGTTCTAGTTTGAGAGCTTCACTGTAGCCCATGAATGGATTTCAGCCTGGGAGTTGGGTTCAGCTTTGGCTTAGACAGACCTAAAATCTGAGTGACCAAATATCCACATGTTATGACTTCCCAGCCTGCACCTGCTTCTCATGCCTGTGCCTTGCCCAGATAAACTAGAGCAGTCAGCTGGGCTGCTGGAGTGGCAGCAGTAGGCTGCAGTGTGGCTCAGGGCTACCAGAGGATGCTGTGCCACCTGCTTTACAGGCTACCAACAGGCTTCCATCTCTTGAACGTCAGCTGGTCCACAATGCAGAATTCTTACATACATGTGCCTGTGTGGTGTATAACATGTGGTCTTGTCTTTCAGAGCTGCTTCTGTTGCTGCTGCTTTGAAAATCTGCTTCTGCATTGTCTTATGTATTTGGAGAGAGATCAGTTTGGAAACCTAGTGGTTTTTCTGTGAGATTTTCACGGTGGAAATGGAAGAACAGCCTGTAAGTAGGGGATGTTGGGTTTTCTTTTTTACCTAGTAGAGAGAAAGAGGAGAACAGTGAGGAGAAAATCATACCAGCCATTTCCTTGTCCTGGCCTCATAATGCTCAGCTCTGCTTTTGTGCAAAATTGTTTTATTGAACCTGGCTTTGAGGTTGGATAATTTGTAAACCTACATCTCTGAGTTCTGACATCCTATATATTTTTTCATCTTGAAAGGGGTGGGTCTGATGGCTTCTTCCTCTTGTTTCATCTCCCTACTGGCTTTCCTTCTTGCACCTCGATTTGAGGGAGCATGGGGCTCACAGTTTAGGGCAAGTTACCTTGAAAAACATGAGTTTGTTACTCAAATCTTCATTGACTGGTCACTGGTCCCTTTTCCCCCTCCCTCCCCCGGCCACAGTGCTGTAGGGTTCACCATGTGAAAATTTTAAAGATCCAAATATTTCACTGCTCCCAGCACCTCAGGCCTTCATCAGATTTACCTCCTCACTGCGCAAAGATAACTGAGTAGTGAGTTCTATTGTGGTTTTCTTGCAGGACAAAAAGAGCAAATGTTCCCAAGATGATGGCTCTGGAGGAAGCTGTGATGGTTGTAATAAGGATGAAAAAAAATCATCTGGAAATACAGACCCATCCTCCCATCAGGACGTTATGGCAAATGAGGTAGAAGGTGCTAAGGCAGTCAGGGAAGTCATGGAGGGGCTCTGATTTGAGCAAAATCTCACTGATTTAGCTAAGATTATACACAACAGTAACAATGACAACAAAACCCCAAACCAACCAACCAAAAAAGAAAATAATCCCGCCCCCCTTGCTTATTGGTATTTTCATAGCAAATTGGAGCCCCCGTGTCAGGGCCCTGGAGCTGATTGTGAAAAAGAATAAGAGCCCATAGAACATGAGTGCGGACTCACTTTTTCTGGGATCTGTGGTGCTGCAGGTGTATAGCTGGCAGTCCTGACCTGCCTAGTTTGGATGTGGTTACATGACCTGTAGTGATTTGCAGTGTGTAAACAGTCATTCCAGCAACTGGCTTCAATAGTGGGGTCAGACAGCAAGGGTTAGCTACTGGAGCTGAAGGCAGCCCTCCTGAGGGCACAAAGACCTTTCATCAGGCATTCCTTCACCTTCCTGTGTGAGAGAGATGATGAATATCTGAGACAAGCAAGAACTAAACCTGAGGATTCCTTGTGAGGAAGAGCAGAGTTGAGCCCACCTTCCCTGCTCACTGGGCCTTAAAGAAGCACTTCATTGTGGCAGTGGTGTGGCCCAGGAGTAGCTGTAGGATACGAGAAACCTTTCCTTTATTAGCAGACAGGATCATCCTCAAGGCAACTTCCCCCGTGTTTATTACACCTCGATAGCTGAGACACTCTCTGCTCTGTCTTACAGACCGAGGGAAGAAGGAGTCTATGGAACCAACTGTTCAGGTATTTCAGGCACTTGTTTTGAGGACTGGTGTTTCAGGCACTCCCAGGCTAATGTTGCATTGTCACCCCTCCCAGTGACATGACTCAGGCAGGCCCCAGGAGGGAAAATTCTTGTCAGTTCTGATGCTAAGAATACTCCTGTTCCCAAAATGGGGGTGGCTATGGAAGATTATCCAAAGGGTCAGAGCCAAGTGCCCAATCTTTGGCTTGTGAGCAAGAAGGGAAGATCTGCCCTGGTTTGTGTTTATTGGTCTGCGAGTTAACTACTGACTAACACAAGCTGTTAACCTGTGTGTTCATTGAGGCTGGATATCTATAAGTCAGCAGGACTGGATAAACTCCATCCAAGAGTGCTGAATGAACTAGCCGAAGTCATCGCAAGACCACTGGAGAACATCTTTGAGAATTTGTGGCACTCAGGAGAGGTCCCAGAAGACTGAAAGAGGGACAGTGTTGTGCCCATCTTCAAGAAGGGGAGGAGAGAGGACCCAGGGAACTACAGGCCAATTAGCCTGACCTCAATCCCAGGAAAAATCCTTGAAAAATGTCTCAAGGAGTCCATATGTGATAAACTAGTAGAAGGCAAAATTCTGAATGACAGCCAGCATGGTTTTGTCGCAGGTAGCTCATGTCTGACTAACCTCATCTCCTTCTACAACCAGGTTATTATGCATGTGTGTGTGGAGGTTAATGTCAATTCTTCAGATTTCAGGAAGGTTTTCACATCTCAGGAGGTTCTTAAGGTAAAACTGGGAGACTATGGACTCAACAATTCAACTGTCAGATGGGTGGGAAACTGGCTGTGAGGTTGGACCCAGAGGGTACTAACAGACGGATCTGTGTCAACCTGGCAGAAGGTAGCCGATGGGGTCCCCCAGGGTTCGGTACTTGGAAAAGCACTACAGTGCTTTTCAACATCTTCATCAACAACCTGGACGTGGGGGTGAAAATCACACTGGCAAAGTTTACTGATGACACTAAGCTGTGAGGAAGTGCAGTCATGCCTCAGGGTAGGGTGATGATCCAGGAGGACCTAGAATGATTAGTTAGATGGGCGGACCAGAACCAGATGCTGTTCAACACTGAAAAGTGTAAAGTGCTCAGTCTGGGGAGGAAAAATCTGCAACAAAGTTACAGGCCTGGTGGCGCTACACTAGCTAGCACCACATCCAAAAGGGACCTGAGGGTCATAATTGACCATAAAATGAATATGAGCCACCAGTGTGATGCCACAGTTAGCAGAGCAAACAATATACCAGTGTTCATCAACCGATGCATCTCAAGCAGAACTAACAAAGTTATTCTCCCTGTCTGCTTGGCATTAGTGAGGCCACAGCTGGAGTACTGCCTCCAGTTCTGGGTGCCAAACTTCAAGAAGGATGTAGAGAAGTGTGAGAGAGTCCAGAGAAGAGCCACTCATATGATTAGAGGACTGAAGAGCAAGCTATACAAGGAAAGGCTGACAGATATGGGACTGTTCAGCCTAGAAAAGACAAGACTTCAGGGGGATTTGGTGGCAGCTTACAAATATATCAGGGGAGAGCATCAGGGCCTAGGTGAACAACTATTCACTAAAGTGCCCCAGGGGAAAACCAGGAGCAATGGTCATAAACTCCTAGAATAAGGTTTCAGACTGAATATGAGGAAAAACTTCATGGTTCGTGTGACCAGACTCTGGAATAGACTCCCAGTGGGAGTGGTGCAGGCACCTACCCTACAGATCTTCAAAAGGAGACTGGACGCACACCTTGCTGGGGTTATTTGACCCCAGCAGTCTTTCCTGCCCAGAGTAGGGGGGCTGGACCCAGTGATCTCACAAGGTCCCTTCCAGCCCTAAACTTCTGTGAATCCTATCTGCTGTCTCTCACAAACCAAAGAAGGACAGGATGCTTGGTGCAGGTATTTGCAGGGCCTTTTTTTGAGACTTGGACTCTGGCAGTCCAATCATTACCATATTGCTGCTCCCAGGGAGTTGGCTCAAACAGGTTCCCTGTAGCAAGGGTTCTGTGAAGGTCCTGGTGTTAAGAAAGTTCCCAGGTCCCAAATCAGAGTAGACTGTGGGAAATGGTCTGATTGGCCCAGGGCAAGTGCCAGGGTTTTGGTGAGGTCAGGGAGATTATAGTGCCATCTGTCCTCATGGTATTGCTGTTTGGGGAGAGTAATGTAACAGCTGTTGGCCAGTGCTGTTTCTCGGTCTGTGTTTGCCAGTCTCTGAGCTAACCGCCGACTAATACAGGCTGTTTCCTGTGTTTGTTGACACAAGTGCACAAGAAAATGTGAAGTTACAAAACCGGCCTGGCGTTGTTGTTGATCTTCCACCTGAAATGCTCCCAACTGAACTGCTCAGCTGTCTAGTGGGTCTCTTCCACTTCCACAATCAATGGTAGCATCAGTTAGAGGACAGGGAAATGGGTGCTCCTGGGTTGCTCTGGAGGAGGGTGGTGGGTGGCAGAAGCAAAATAACTGGTTCTTCCTGAGCACACTGAGTGTAAACCAGAGGCTTAGCCTTCAAGCCCAAGCCCAAGGTGCACACCTTGTATTGGACCAACCTTCTCCTCCTCTGCAGGTGTTGGAGTGACCATGAGGAGAGAGAGAGAGACCAAGTCCAGGACCAGCTAAGGTGGGTGGAGGGCAGTGGAGAAAGAGAACAGGCTGTGATTGGAATGACAGGCTGCTTGGAGCTTGGGAAGACGGGAATGGGGCCGGTTTGAGAACAGAAATAGTAGGGAAGCTGTTGTCTTTTACCTGGCCATGGAAAAAGGCTCTTTTCTAGAGACTTGCCCTCCTAGTATTCCTTGCAGGTCATCTTACCTCATGCAGCCATGGCTGGAAAACAAGTGGGTCTGCCTGGCTGATGTGCCCTCCAGCATCCTGAGCTGCCAAAGGCCCCACTGCACCCCAGAGGAAGCAGCCTGCCATCTCCTGACAGAGCTGTGTGGGCTGAACTTTGGTGCTGGGTGAGGGTGGTTATTGGTGCCTGGGATGTGCTGTGTGGATGCGTCCTTGCTGCTCCTGGTTTTAGAGGAGGGCCCCAAAGCGTGATGAAGTGCAGGTGTGGGCACAGCTGGAGGGCATGGTAAGTTCACTCGGCAAAGAAGGCCTTTGCTTTGCAAACGATACGAAGGTCTCTATCTAGTCACAGTCCATCTGGCTGGGAGGGAGACCAAACCAGAAAGCTCTTTTGTTGGGAGTGGCAGAATGAATCGCACTGGCCTTGTGCTCTGGACTTTAGGCAGAGGACCCTGAGGTGGGCATCCCTGTGAGGAGGCACTAAGCAGCTCTTCTCTTATGTCTGTGGTAGGGATATGGACTCCATCTCCCAGCGGCCGAAGGCACTCTCCGATACCGAGCCAAGTTAAGTGACATGTTTACTGTTCACGGGTTGCTGCCAGGGATAAGAAGATAGTGCTGTTAGTCCTTCCCTGCCTGCCAGTGCTTCCCGTCTGGGTCTGCAGGAAGGGGAGCAAAGGAGGAGGAGTGGTGGGGTGAGGAAGGTGGACCCCCTCAGCCTTGCCTCCACTCCCTAGTTAGGTGCTGTATTGTAGGGAGGCAGAAGGGGAAGTTGCTGGTGCCTGAGTAATTGATGAGGAGTGTGGGAAAAGCTGGAGGCCACATCCCAGGGGGCAGCAGTCAGAGCTCCTGCAGGGTGGGTCAAGACGTCGCCTTGTGTCGAAGAACAAGGATGGCAACCTGAGGTTTTGGGTTTGGTTGTCAGGCTGTAAATTCAGCTGAGGGAAATGAAGCCACTGGGTCAGCAGCAACAGGCAGGTTGTGCCTCTGGTGGATCCTGGAATAGGGCACGTTTTAGCTGTGGTGGGCCTCAGAGGAGATGATGGATCTGGGCCATTGGCATGGGCATTCAGATGGTGGATCCCAGCTCTGGGGATGGGGTGTCCTCCAGGAAGGCTTCTGTCGTGGGAGGCCCTGAAAGAGGAGCAGTGCCCGGGCCTGGGCTCTGCTCATGCTCTAGCGGGTTAAGCCCTTGGGGGAAGTGTCAGTTTGGTGCTGGGCAGTACTTGGTCCATCACGAGCTGTTTGTCTAGACGTGTCCTTCATCTGGTAGCTGGGGAGAGAATGCCACTGTGCGTCTGTAAGGCTGTGGAAATGGCACGTGCCAAGACTGGCCATCTGGCTCTTTATTTGAACAACCCAGAGCAGATGGGCAGGGTGGCTGCCCATGCGGTCAGCTGGTGGTCTTCGACTCTAACCGGCTGAAGGGAGTGGTGGGCCTGAGAGCAGAATGTGGTTTCTGGGCTGCCGATGAGAGGACAGTGGCGTCATGAGCCCTGCTGCTCTGTTACAATCCAAGGCAGGACAGAGTATCCACTGAAACCACCGGGTCAGGCAAGTCTCCTCTTTCTCCCACAGGGCATGTAGGTAGCCAAGGAGACAGTGTCCCGGACAAGGCAGAAGAGGCATCGGGTGGGCCATTGGATCCTGGCCGAACCAGTCCTAAGGGGGAGAAGTCAGCAGTGGAGGAGGAAAGGCCTGGGATGGAGCTAAGAACAAAGGGACATGTGGACAGCCCTTTGGAAGAGCAGGTGAAGACTGGCAGATGAATGAGTCTGGTAACCATAAAACCTGCGTGCCTTTGCTCCTTGATTTGAGGCAGCAGTCATGGATATGTGGCTTTTCATTGGCTGCTGTTACCACCAGGGATGAGGGTGCCTTTTGCAGTGTACTGAGAGGGACCTGCAGGTGTCACCAGTGGGGTTTACTGAACGTACATATGAAAATGTGGCAGGTTGGTGTGGGACCTTGCATGTTCTGTGCACATGCTTCTCAGTTGGTTTTCAGTGAGATCTCTCTTTCCTTCCGAGTTCAAGCTTTGACAGCGTTGCATCTGTTTGAGATATGTGACTTACCTATGCAATAGAGGTGTCTGGAGTAGATGTTCAATGCCAGGAAAAGATCCTCAGCAGAGAGACAGTTTTTAAAACTGGGTCTTGGTCCTAAGAGAAGTTGAGGGACCAAAATGGCAGGTGGCATAGCTCAAAAAAAAGCCTTAGGAAAAAGAGTAGAGGAAGGCAGTGGGGTGCCATGCCCTTGAAATCAGTCCCCTAGAAACGTCAAGGTAGGGGAATTAAAGCCAGGAAGATACAGGAGGAAGGGAAGAAAAGGAAATGCAAAGTATGTAGCTACAGTTTCAAATTGGAAACTAGGCTGCAAACACACACCGGCAGACTGATTCATAGATTCATAGATGTTAGGGTCGGAAGGGACCTCAATGGATCATCGAGTCCGACCCCCTGCATAGGCAGGAAAGAGGTGTCTATCTAACCTCATCTTGAAGACCCCCAGGGTAGGGGAGAGGAGTACTGCTCTTTCCCAAACGAACAACTAAGAAGAGCTGAGCACTGGGAAGTGCAAACTATGATTGATCCCCTTGGTGCGATGAGAGGAAGCAACCTGAAGTGCAGGTGGACCACACAGTGCAGCTCTGAGCATTTCTGCAAGTGAGGATGGATGCACGGGCAGTTACTAAAGGGAGAATTACATGTTCCCAGGTGGTTTTTTGTGGGCATTTGATATTATCTTGGTTTGCAAAGTGTAGCTTTCATAGAAGGGGAAAATTATGTGGAGGAAAAGTCAGCCCATTTTCAAAGCCAATGGAATGAAACATTTCAAACGCTTGAAATTTGAATGGAGACTTATCTTCCTGGCAGTACTAAACATCATGTGCTGAAAGCATGGTTTGCTGCTATTGTAGGTTTGTTTTTGTGGAGCAGCACCCAACAGACAACCGTGTGTTTCTTTTGAGTGAGGGTCTTTCAGTGCCATTATTTGCTCTGGGATGACTCGAGTTACCTGTGGGGCCAACTTTTTTTGCCAAAGCAAAACAAACAGCGTGCTGGAAAGCTGGTGGTGGTTGAGGAAGGTCTGGAGGTTTCCTCATTTCACCTTGCAATGTGGTTTAGCCTCCTTGATTTCCTCCCCCCCCCTTAGTTACAGTCTAAGGATGTGAATAAAGAAACCATTTTGGATGCACCATCTTCCTCACTGAAAATATCTTGCACCAGAAATATTGCATCTAATCCTTGAGAAATGTAATATAAATCTGAAGTCCGTTGCCCAGGTTTTGTGCTGTTTTATGACTTTTTTCTGTGTGCTGTGGCAGGGCACACAGTATCCTGAAATAATGGGTACTTCCTAGCTTCACCAGGAAGGTCGTGCTCCCGGCTCTGGGGCTCAGGACTTGAACACAGCCTGTTGAGCCTCTCATTCAGAAGCCTGTTGCCTCCTCTCAATTTGCCCAGAAGCCAAAGCAGCTGTTATGGTGCTCACAGCTGGGTGGAGGGACATCCAAGCCATGACGCCTTTCTGCATTAGAAGGAAGCAGCAGGGTGGAACCAAGGCTTGCCATCCTTTTGGAGCTTTCCTGATTCGGGAAACTTAGTTAAACTGTCTTTATGGCAACTAGACCACCAGTCCCTTGAGATAGTATTTGATGCACATGGCCATGTCCCAATTTCTCCTCAAGAGCCTGAGGAGAAGCGGGATTGAAAGCCTTGTCTGAAAACCTTCATTTGTGTGCAACTCTCCTGCTGTTTGTTTGAAGCCATTGGCATTAATCTACATTAACATCTGCACAAACACTTGGCTTGCTTGTGTCACTGCTTTGCAAACCAGGTGTCTCTTCTAGCGTAATGCAACCCAGAATTTGAAAAGCACCGTGTTTCTCCTCCCCACAGTGAGAGCGCTGTCCCTCTACGTCCGGGCTGTACTTTGGTTGCTAGTGTATTAATGTTTTTTCAGGCTGCCGTAGGAAATAATTCTTCCTGTGGTTTCTTTTGTTGTTGCAGATCTTAGGAGGACAGAACACCTCAGAAGGCAGGAGCCGGTAATTTCAATTCCTGTTCTATCAGTCGGGCTGCCCCTAGTGCCTGAGTAACGCTCTCAGAGTTCCCGCTGGAAGGGCTTGGGTCTTGGGGAAGAAAGGGCCTGTTTGGGAGCAAAGATGAGCCCTGTTGTAGTGGTGTTTCCAGGCATTGTCTTCTACCTGGCCATGAAAAGTGCCTCTGGTCTTGACCTCTGCCCTCCTAGAGCTGTCCTGTAGCAGGTTGTCTTAGTAATGCAGCCATCTGTAGAAAATAAGGGAACCATGGGAGGTGGGTCTGCCTGACTGTCGCGAGCTCCTGCATGCCAAGATTCCTCTGGCAGGCTGTGTCGTCCAGAGAGCGGTGGGGCTGTCGGCAGTGTTTTGGATTGGATAATCACCTCTGCTGAGTGAGGGCACTGGTTAGCTTGGGAAGTGGCATGAGGATGTAGCTTTGCTGTTCCTGATTTTGGAAGAAGGCCCCAAGGAACAGTGTGGCTGCTTATTCATAGATTGCGAGGCTGGAAGGGACCTTAGGGGATCATCGGGTCCAGCCCCACTGCACCAGGCAGGAAAGACGACTGGGAGTCAGGTGACCCCAGCGAGGTGACTGTCCAGTCTCCTCTTGAAGATTTCCAGGGTAGGTGATTGCACCACCTCTGGAGGGAACTTATTCCACAGTGTAGACACCCTAGCAGTGAAGAAGTTTTTCCTAATGTTGAGCCTGAGATGGTCTTCCAGGAGTTTGTGGTTTGGTGCTGTTGCAGGGCAGAGCAAGTTATCCATGCAGAGAAGGACTTTGTTTTGCGAATGGTCCAAAGGTCTCTATCCTGGCACAGTCCATCTGGCTGGGAGGGAGACCAAACCAGAAAGCTGTTTTGTTGGGAGTGGCAGAATGAATCGCACTGGCCTTGTGCTCTGGACTTTAGGCAGAGGACCCCGAGGTGGGCATCCCTGTGAGGAGGCACTAAGCAGCTCTTCTCTTATGTCTGTGGTAGGGATGTGGACTCCATCTCCCAGCGGCCGAAGGCACCCTCCGATACTAAGCAAAGTAAGTGACTTGCACTCATGTTTCACAAGATCTTTTGGGGGTAAGGGGAAGGAGTAGTAGGAAGTTGCAGGCCATTGTGCTTCTCTCCACCCACCCGCAACTCTTCTGGGAGATGCATAGAGTGGGTGGATTTTCATGCGGAGCATTGTTGGGAAATTTAAGGCTGTTCTTCACTTTTGAGTTTGCCTGTACACCAGCGCAGGTCCTAGGAGGAAAAAATAAATTCAAAATGTTTCTGAAGTAAAGGAAACCCTCACTATTCACGGGTTCGGCATTCACAGTTTCAAATATTTGCGGTGTGCCGAATATTCCCCATGCAGCAAAATGTTACCTTGTTACAGCGCTGGCGGCGTCTGCAGGAGTTCTGCACTTGCTGCTGTTGGGCTTCCGCCGTTGCCGCCAGGCTCTTGCTGCCACCAGTGCAGCCATGCCCCACCCCCAGCTGCTGGGGCCACACGCCGTTTATGAATGCAGACGACATTCATGAACGCAGTTCACTATTTGGAGATTTTGCCATTTGCGGGGATCTTCAGTATGTATCCCCTGTGAATGGTGAGGGTTTCCTGTACATGGTCAACATTTTAAGGGAGTCATCATGGTAAGGAACTGTAAAATTGGTTTTGGATCTAGGTAAAAATTCATGAATTTTTAACGTTGCCTATGGTTGTTTCAAAAATCAATTTTTTTCATTTATGAACTCAGCCTCACAGTGAGGCTTTTAGTATAAAAAAGGTCCACTCCATTCTGGAAGCTGTCCATTTCTAAGATGTTTGTGTAAATAAAGACTATAACACGCAAAAATTTGTTGAAGACTGCCTTTCTCCTCCTCTTGTCCCTTCAAGTAGTGTCCCTGCATTTTGTTGGAGTCTTTTATTTCCCTAAATGAATGTCATGTCTGTGATGGGGGATGGTCAGGACAAAATTTCTGTCAAGTTGGTAAAATATCAGAATCTGACATGTTTGGCTTTTAGCAGTTGCTGTAGAGAAATCTTTTCTGATCTGGCCACTGGGAGCGTTGAAAATGCAGAAACAGCTGGCATCTTTTTGTGGTGCCACGTTCTCCTCCTTCACATAGGAATAAGCCTGGGAAGATGTTTTCTGTTGAATTGCTCCAGTATTGGCTCTGAAATTCAGGGCTGCAATGGGAACTGTGTGCACATAACCCATGGCAGAATCCTGTCAGCTATGCTGTCAGCCAACACTTCCATTTCTAAAGGATGGAAAGATACAGATTCTCCCTCTAGGACTGATTCTTCAGGCATGTCTCATAGAACTATGAAGAAGCCACAATGTTTCCAAAGATTTCCCTGTGGAAATTGTCTTTCATAGATTAAACCAGCATTTCCCCAAGAATGAGGTGAGCTGACTGGCTGGTCACTCCAGGCAGAGGTCTCAGATGTTCAGTCCCTGGGTTTCAGGTTTTTCTTGGTTTTTCAGGAAAGTACATGGGGCTGTGTAACCAGGGCTCCACCTGCTACTTGAACAGCCTGCTGCAGTGTCTCTTCTTCACTCCAGAACTCAGACGAGCCATTTGCAGGTAGGGCTTTGCCAGTGCATTGTGGGTTTGCTTTAGCCATAGCACACCTGACTTGGTGTGGCAGGGCACCTGCAGTGCCTGCCACTTTTAGGTTTCTAATTGGCAGTGGAGCAGCTGGCAGGTGGGTGCTAGCCTCATCAAGGCTAGTAGATGACCCTAGGAGGACCTTGGGATTGGCTGAAGGGGTGGAGCAGGCTCCATTTTAACCCAGGCCCTCGGAGAGAGAAGCAGCAGTCTGAGCTGAGCAGGCAAGGAGGCAACATGAGGCTGAGCTGTTCCTGGAACATCTTGGAGGCAAGGGCAGGAGCTATGGGGATGGTTTGGAGGCTCCTGGTCCTGGGCATGACCTGAAACTGTACCCTGCTGGGGAAGGGTGGCCTGGTGGGAAATCCCTGTGGCGGGGAGTCCCCAAGAAATGTCAGGCCAGTTACCTCCCCAGTGAAGTATGAGGAGGGGTGACTTATAACCCCAGCCCCTGCCTATGGGTGGGTTACCAACACTGGCAGGGAGTGGGGCCAGGCAAGCCAGGTGTCAGGACTGCCTGAGTTCAGTGTAGGGGCCAGGCACAGCGTCAGCCACCTGAGCCTATAGGGTGGAAGACCCCAGTGCAGGGGGCTAGGCACAGTGGCAGCCTCCTGAGCCCAACCAGGTGAAAGACCCCAGCAGCCCAGGGAGGGGCCAAGCATGTGAAGTGGCCCAGTGAGGGGCAGAACCACTGACTTGGGGAAACAGATATATCAGGTGGGATAATATGGAAATACCGGATGTGACAGAAATATTGGAATTGACCATATGGAAGTACTGGATGTGGCATAGAAACAGCTGCAAGGCAAAGGACACATGTAAGGGGAGGTTGGAGTATGTACGTAGGCCTTTGTGATCAGGAGGTCGAGCAATGGGCAGCCTTTCACCTTAGAAATAACATTCATATTAATTTCTTCAAGGTATGGCAGACAAGTGAGGTGTGGGCTTAGCCCTGAACAGGCGGGCAGCCAGCACTGAGATCTGGCCCTGAAAGGCCAGTGTGCCAGTGCACTGTTCGGTGCCAGCCACTTTAGGGGCTGGGTCAGGCATCCAGCAGGTGCCTTATGGTGGCAGCTATTTTGAGAACTAAGTATATAAAGGCTGCGACCAGCCAAGGCAGAAACATCGACTGGCTGAGCTGCTGCATGGAACATCTAGAAGTAAGAGCAGAAGGCATGACCTAAAGCTGCACCTTTTCGGGGAGGGGGGGTTTGGTGGGGCTCCTGGTAGTGCGGGAGTCTCCAGGAAATGCCAGTTACCTCCCCAGTGAAAGGCAAGGAGGGGTGCCTTAACCCCAGCTCCCATCTTTGAGTGGGCTTTGGAGGCAGTTGTGGGGCCAGGCACAGCAAGTGGAGTGCTGCCTGAGCCCAGCAGGGATGTGAGATCCCAGAGACCCCAGAGGGAGGTTGTGTGGAGATGTGGGAGTAGTGGGGGCCAGGTATGCCCATGTATAGGTGCCTGAACCAAGTGGGGATGCAGATCCTAGAGACCCCAGAGGGGGTAGTGTGTAGAGCGTTAGGAAGGCCGCACAGAGTAGGGCCAAGATCGGAGGAAGCCTGAAGGGCTGTGCATGGGATGTGGGGCTGAGTAGGTCTGACATGAGAGTGGGCTTGAAGGACAGTCCCAGGGGTGTGCTGAGTAGGGCTGAATGGGAGTAGGCCTGAAGGCCAGCATGAGGGGCCAGCCCTGTGAGAAGTTGAGTGCAAGCATGAATTGGAGACCCCAGGGTGGGCGTATTGTAGAGTTGCCCGGTTTGGGGCTTGGGGCAGAATTCGGCCAGGATTTGGCATATGGTCGGACCACGTAGAGTAGGAGAATTTGCGGGAACTGAAGGACTGCTTGGCGAGGCCAGCATGGGAGTAGCGAAACCTGATAGCCCAGAGGGGTTGCTCAAGGAGAAGCAGGGCAGTGGAGTGTGGCTCAGTAATAGGAAGTAAGCTAGAGGCCCCAGTGAGAGAGGGGTGGAGTGGAAGAGGCCTCCTGTGAGGGGAGAGGTGGTGTGAATGAGTGTGTGTGTGGAACTTTGGACTCAATTTGTTTCAGTTTCAGATCGGGAGTAATATTAATCTTGATGCCATCTGTGAGGCATGGGCTGCAGTGCAGGGAAAGTTCAGAGCTGCAGATAGTGTCATCTGGCGTTGGAGCTGAGAATAGACAGCCTCCCGCATTATATCACCAGTTTACAGGAACAGCAAAGTCGTGGCAGGCGAGATTGGGCTGAGTGCCCCATACAGACAGGAGGGCGGGCCAGCATGAGACTTGGACCCAAGTCTGCCCTCTGTCACAGTCAGCCTCTCACACGTGTATAGTGGATAACTACGTAATTCTGATGCTGTGTGACCCTTCCCCCTTTGGTGCAGCTGAAGCATCAGGATGTGGTGGGCAGAGCAGTGCTTTGCAGGTTTGGGGGAAGATGGGACAAGGATATAGGAGGCGTACTGGGTTAGGGGTGTAAAGAAAGGAGCAGGAGATGGCAACAAGTTTTGTGGCTGGCTATATTGGAAATGGGACCTGGGGTCAAAACTCTAGTTCAATTAGAACTGCCTTCAACTGCGGACGGATAAGGCTGTACTCTGAATAGGGCAGCAGACAAGGCCCAGAACCATCAACACTATACACTTTTGCCCAGTCTATTGATGCATTTAACCATGGTCAGAGGGATGCCCCTCAACACACACCTTGAGATGAGAGGGGAATTTGGTCTGTTACTGCCTTTGGGCTTCCTCAGAGTGCATCCAGCAAGACCCATCACAGGCCCCAGTAGATCCCAGGGGCCAGATCCTAATCCACGTATAGGGCATGTGAGTGAAGTTAGGTGCCCGAGTGTGATCCTACTCCACCATGTTCAAGTCCCTGAAAATACAAGAATGCACTTAATTCTGTAGCCTGCCTTCAACTTAACTTTAAGACTAAGTCACTAAAAGAAGCAGAGAGAGGAAAACTCGCCTACTTTTGCATGAGCAGTTTTTCAGGGCAGAACAGGATTGCAAGTACACAACCAAGTCCACTTGGGCAGCTCATGAGGCTCTCTCTTGCAATCCTTGTAACATTCCCCATTGAGTCAAAGTCTAGACCCTTCCTGAAAGGTGCAGATGAATGGTGTGTCTTTGTTGTGTTTTGTAGCTGTGATAACACTGACCCTGGCATCCTGCACAGCCTGAAAAAGCTGTTTCAAGAGCTGACGGATGGAAAACAAATTCCCACCACAACAGGAATTACTATGTGCCTTGGAATTCGCAATGGTAGGATGCTTCTCTAGAGAGGTTTGCCTTGGGACATCCTTCCAGGCTGGTGTTCCATAAGCAACTTGATCTTAGCTTCTAGGGGATGGAGGTTCAGCTTTGCTAAGACCCCATTAGTCTCAGTATGTGCCAGAGCTTTTCCCCAGCTCCCTCTTGGTTCTGTGTTCACATCATTCTCCTCCCTGATAGTCATCTATGAATGCAGGAGGATTTCTCAGGCATATAAAAGGCTTTGCTGACCCTCTTCTGCTTCACGACTTCCCATGCCCTCTTCTTAGGGAACTCCTCCTCTTCATCCTCCTTCACCCTAAACGTTTCTTACATGTCATGTATTTGAACATCTGGAGTAGCTGTGTTTTTGCTTCGTCTTCAGTGTGGCTTCACTTCTGACCTGTCTGAGGGCTTCTACCAGGGTGTTATTGCTAAATGACTTTCCCAGTTTCACAGAGAAACCGGTTGCACATGTTTGGCAGTGCTTTCCAGCCAGGTTGAAGGTGTGTGGTAGAGCCTAGGTTCTAGTTTCCATTGGCTGGTATCTGCCTTTGTACAGGGACAAAGCAGGCTACATCATTCTATGCCTGCTCATCCTTCAGGGCTTTCCCACAGTTCCACTGTGCATTGAACAGAACATGCACATTCTCCCATAAGTCACAGAGAGAGAATGATGGAGCTGTTCTTTTCAGCTCATTGTAGCATAAAAGAACCATGGGGCTTCTTGGTGTGTGTTGCTAGGGTTTCTGAAGTAAGTGCAGCAGCAACGAGGACAGACTGCTGAAGTCTGACATTATGCTGTGGCTGCTCACACTGGGATGGGCTCCTAGCAGGTGTGCTCTGGGTGTTTGTTCCTTGGAGATACCATTGCCATATTCACCTTCTAATGCAAAGGCTATGTCCCATGAGGGAAATCAAAGAAATCAAAATAAGACAATGAACTGCTCCCTTGGCCTAGCAACCCTTAGGCTGCATGCAAGAACCACAATCTGCTGCAGTTGGTTGTTGATCATTCCTATTTGTATCTGTACAGTGAACCAGCAACAAGACATTGAGGAATATTTCAGGCAGCTGATGGATAAAATAATTGAAGAGAAAGAAGGTATACGCCAGGTAACACTTTTCTTCAGGATACCTAAACAGGAGGTCTTTCAGACGATCACAGGCAAAAAAGCCCAGAAGTTATGTAATGCTAGATTTGGGCTGCCAGTGCAACTTAAGGCACAGTTTTTAGTTCCACAATCACATACTTTCTTCCTCAGATCGCTGCCTTATTCAGCAAAAGGGTACTTCCTCAATACTTCTAATCCAGGCCTCTGTCCTTATTTAACATATCCTTTGTAAAATCTGCTCTGAATATAAAGTTATGAATATGCTACTAATTGCTGTTCTCACCCTGCATTCTGAGCATTTCTCAAACATTATATTTCCCTAAACACCCTTGAAGAATAGGTGACAATACCAGAACCCCTTCCAGCCAAGGGAATGAAGAATAGTGTGTAAAGAATACAGTAAGGACAAAATCCAGTGTCTGCTGATCTCGGGTGCCCAACTTTAGGCAATGGGGACCTAATTTTTCCAGCACTTTAAAGGTGCTTTGTGTTTGAAATGCTTTGGCATTTGAGTTCAATGCTTCTGCAAATCTGACTTGCTGAGCAGCCTGAAAATGAGGAACATGTGTTTTGTGACCAGCTGTGAACAATTTTAGGGAGGACTGCAAGCACACCCTGTATGGCAGGGTCAGGCTGCCCTTGCAGCGTGTGACCCATGTGCCCGCAGTACGTGTGGCCCCTAGCCACACCAAAGTTGGATAGCCCTGACCTAGAAGATAACAAGGCAATCAGGAACAGCCCATGTGGATTTTTCAAGAACAAGGTACACTTGTCCAATCTAATTTCCCTTTTTAAAGAAGGTGACAGGCTTCATAGATGAGAGGAGAACAGCAGATGAGACTTACGTTGAGGAGGTCTCACTTGAAGTATTGTGTCCAGTTCTAGATGCTGTGCTTCAAGAAAGATGTGGACAAATTGGAAAGAGTTCAGTGGAGAGGAATCAAAATGATTTAGCCATCTAGAAAACATGACATACAAGGAAAGATTGGGACTGTTTATTATGGAGCAGAGAAGATTGGTGAGGACCTGATGAGTCTTCAGATAGATAAGAGTTGTTACAATACAGTGTCCTTTCTGTCTACAGGGGACAGGCCAAAGAGCAACTGTCTGAAATTACAAGAAGGGGAATTTAGTTTGGAATTTAGGGGCATATGTAGACAAAAGGGAGGTCCTAAATTGAAGCAGTGGGTTTTTAAAACCCCCACTTCAGTTTAGGGTGCTTTAAACCCCCTGTGTTGTGCACACACCTGAACTTACCTGCCTCTCCAGTGGCAGGGAGGGGAGGGTGAGCTGCCAGCAAGTGGACTGGTCCCTGGGCTGTGGGGGTTGGGGGGCTAGTACTAACCTTCGTGGCCGCAGTGCCCCCCGCCCACTGCAGGTGGCACCGGCCCACAGGCACCCACCTCGGGCAGTCCCGGGGGGTACCGCAGCTGCGGAGGGAAGCACCGGACCACCGTGCAGCTCAGGCAGGCAGGCTCCAGCGGGGGTGGGGAAGATCTTGGGTGGAGCCTACCTTCCTGGGCTGCTGCCAGGCTGCCTGCATGGGCTTCCTGCAGAGCCCGAGCTGTACGGAGTCCAGTGCTACGCTCCGAGGCTGTAGGGCAGCAAACTAAAACTCTTTGGAGGAGTTTTAGTTTGCTGCACCCCAAGTCATTTAACACACATTATGCTGCTGAATTTGCTACAGTGGCTGGAATTACTGCGCAATAAACCTCCGATGCATGCAAACTCCAATGCTATTAAAGCGGTGCAAAAGTATTTAACCTGCTTTAAAGTGTCATGTACACGTGGCCCTAATTTTGTCTACATATGACCTAGCTGACTTCCTGAAGTCCCTCCCAGACCCATGATTCACCACACAGTCCTCATTCATACATGGAGCAAGTCCTGTGTACTGACACATGCAGCATATCCAACCAAAGGATCCATCTTGGGGGTCTGTCGGGGGGAGAGGAGTGCGTGGAGAGGCAAAGGTTCATCTCCAAGCATCTTTGCTCATTCCACCCTCTGGGAACCTCAGTTCTACTTGCTGCTGTAACCACCAATTTCCACTAGTGCCAATTTACAAATGGGACCATTTCCAAAGGTTATGTAAGAGTGGACCAGGACATAGGCAGTCAGTCCTACTGAATCACTCCAGCTCAGGGTTTGCCAGAGTGGAAGCTAAGCTCAAAGCTGAGGATCAAGATGAGGTCACAGTGAGGGCATGCAGTTGATTCAGGCCAGGAAGTCCAAGACAAAAACAGGAAGAAGGAGGAACAGGCTGGAGGGTCCAAGCCAGAGGTTCAGAGTATGGAGTCAGGTTTAGGAGTTTGAGGCAAGCCAGAGGCATAGCAAGGAAATCCGCTGCTTAATGTCAGGGGTAAGTGACAGCAACCATTCTAATTGTTATGTGTGAATGAGGGAAGCCAAGTCAATGGTAGCAATACAGCTCCAGCTATAACCCTGGATGCAGGAATGTTAATGCCAGGAAGGTTTTGATAGCTTTGAATTGTTTTCAGCCATTTTCCATACAACAAATAGAAAGTACCAATTGCTGTCCCATTCCCCTTTTCAAAGGCCTCCAAATGTATGTGTGCCTACACCTCAGGGGGAACTTTAGGAGGAGCTTTAGACATTCTGTTTATACACTCACTCAAAGGCCAAGTGTATCTTAAGCTTATATTAATAACGACCCTGTGCACTGTGTAAGACAAAGGCCTCATGGTAAATATTGGATGTGATTGGGTAGGCAGATTGTGTTGTCATGCAAATGTATATGGGATTGAAGTAAAGTTGAACAGGAAACCTTAATTAATTTTTGACCACTTCCCTTTCCTTTAATATAGGGTTATAATGTATTTTCTTAAGATTTAGTTTTGCATTATTTTTCAGTGATAGCAATTTTAAGCTTGCTTTGCTCTGACAGGTAGTAAACATTAGAAACAATGTTGAGTGAGACTGGGAAGGCACACAACGCATGTCTTCCATTCCTCCAGCTAATATATGTTTGCACTTTCCCTGTAGTTTTAACACTGGATTGATGGAAATGTTTATCATTGTCTCTATCTTTTCTTAGCTATACGAGGTGAAACAGGTCCATACCATCACTTGTTGTGAATGCAGACTCCAGACAAAAGTGGAGAATCCTGTCCTGAGTCTTTCCCTCTCTTTTCAAAAGTTGACTTCTAATCACTCCGTTTACTCTGTGGTAAGGAAAATATCCCTACATTTGTTAGGAACGGTGGGTCTGAGGCAAATGCAGAGCTGTTGGGTGCAGTTGGACTTTCGGTTGGAAGCTGTGGAGAGACTGTTCATTATAGACAGAAGGGAGTTTATCTTAGAACGTACCTAGTGCCATGGGTTCATTTTTGGTCTTTCAGACCTATTGAGGAATCCAGTGGATATTAGTTGCATGCAAATTAATCTAGAGCAGTGTTGGTTTTGGGACATAATGAGCTTTTATTCTTGTGACAGTTTTCTTTTTTTTATCTACAGATCAATTTCTAGAATATACATTAATTGCTCAAACTGTATTTCACATATATTTATTGAAGGTATTAAGGAGTTGCTTGAGGGCCCAGACACAGGAAACAGCTATGCCAGCATGTGTAATTTCTATTCATTTTGTACACTGCTGTAAATTACACTGGGTACATCTATGTGTGAGTTTTACAGTACACACACAGTAAAGTGTCACCATCTATACATGCACCACAGTTAAGGTGCAGTAGATTAATTTACTTTGTATACTGTGGTGGAGTAAATTACTGCTCTTAAAAGCACATGTAGATGATGATGCTGGGATTAGTTTACTCTGGCTTAAATTGCAGTGGAGTTTTTTCAGTCACATTAATTGTACATGCTAATGAGCCCATTGGGATCCAGAGTAGACTGGTGCCCGGTTTCTTAGAGAAGGTACCTTGACATTAGGTGGCAGAAATCCAGAGTAACTTTACTGCACCAGATTGAAGGCTCTTACACTAGTGTAGATCTTTAAAACACGTGTCTTCTTTAAAATGAAATAAACATAGAGTGTTTCCAAGCCCTGACTTACTAATACAGCTAGGATGCTTCACTGCAAGATGAATCCTGCAGGCTCTGTGAACTTGGCTGTGCCATAACTTTGAGTGATCTGGCAGTTTGTTCACTGAACAACATCAGTCCTACTCAGAAGCTTTTTCAACCCCTGTCCACTGCTGTGCATAGGGTAAGGGGTACAGCCTCTGCTCCAGCAAAGACTTGAGACCTGCTGAGCTTTGTTCATGTAAGCTGTTCCATTGACTTGAAGACATGCTTAAACATGCCTACTAATTTTTCTAGGGTTGAAGCAAAACTGTACAGTTCCCTTGAGCTCCTTAAGCATCTGTGAGGTATTTTCTTAAACAGGTGTTATGAAAATCTGCTCTCTTATTTTGATGAGCTAAAATGCTTTCAAAGAAAGTTGATACCGTAATTGAAACAAAACTATTGCATAACCTGTCTAGAAGAGGTCTTCTTGGCACGGGGGAGTGCATTCAGTTTCAGCTTCTGGTCCTCTGGGATAGACACAGTCTATATAGGGAAGACATAAGCTTACGTCCCCTTGTAGTCAAAGCGAGTTAATCAGGTGCTAAGCTCTGAGTACACAAAGCAAACTTATTGAGTAAACTTTGTCAAGAAAAAGACTTACATATGAGCTTAAAGTTGTTTTGTGTGGAGAAGCTCCTTTGGTATCAAAGTAGATATACTTCACATGATGGAAAAGTCAGCGTTTTGGTCTACTTACCTTAAGACTGTGCTGTTGGAAGGCAGCATGCAGTTACTTACTATGTCCTTCAGTTATACTAGTGTGACATAATGTTGTCACTTCTGCCTGTGTCTAGGCCACCACTTTGGATGAGATGCAGGAAGAAAGCACCTTTACAGGAGATGACCAGCTATATTGCGAAAACTGTGGATGTAAACAAGATGCCACCTCGGTAAGCATAGGTTGTTCAGATAGTTGTACCAGGCACAGCGCTGACCAGATGTGCTAAATCTTGAATGATACATGTACAAAGAGAGGAACATGTTTTGTTTGTTTTTTACTTGTGTACCTACAAAAGGCAGACAAGGTTCCTTGGGTGAATCTGATATCTTTTATTAGACCAACCCAAATAGTTGGAGAATAGTTATTAAGCAAGCTTTCGGGTTCAAAAACCCTTCATCAGGCTAAGAAAGTTTCAGCAGTTGGTCTGTGCTCTTCCTGGATGGAATGAAAAGGGTTTTTGAACCCGAAAGCTTGCTTAATAACTATTCTCCAACTATTTGGGTTGGTCTAATAAAAGATATCAGATTCACCCAAGGAACCTTGTTTGCCTATGTCCTTAGACCAACACGGCTACAACCTACACCCCTATATTTAGTCCATGATTTTTAGTATCTAGGAGGTTGCTTCAAACAAGCACCAAACCTCTCCAACCTCATCACCAGAAGCAAACTTCCTCAAGCCCAGAACACACCAAAAAGATCCAGAAAGTGCCATGACAAGAAATGCAAAACCTGCCAACACATCTCCACCACCCCCACTATTACTACACCCCACAACAGAGCCATCAGCATTCCTGGATCTTACAGCTGCACCTCCAGAAATGTAATATATCTCATCCAATGCACCAAATGCCCTGATGGAAAATACGTAGGAGAGACCAAACAACAACTGCACACCAGAATGAATGCACATGGGAAATCTATCAAAGACAGAAATACCCAATTACCTGTGGGGGCACATTTCTCACAAGAAAACCACTCTCTCCCCAATCTCTCAGTCCTGATCCTCAAAGGAAACTTACAAAACACTTCCCAGAGACGAGCTTATGATCTCCATTTCATCAACCTCCTGGATACTAAAAATCATGGACTAAATAGGGACATTGGATTTATGACACATTATAACCTGCCTGACATCTGACTCCTCAGGTATCTCCACTTTCATCCCCCGCCCCCCAGCCTGTCTCTCACCCATTGACTCCTCAATCTACATTTTCACTGACTACCTGTCTTGTATGCAGACCAGCCCAGCCGCTGGCTTCTTTACTTTTCATTCCATCCAGGAAGAGCACACACCAACTGCTGAAACTTCCTTAGCCTGACGAAGGGTTTTTGAACCTGAAAGCTTGCTTAATAACTATTCTCCAACTATTTGGGTTGGTCTAATAAAAGATATCAGATTCACCCAAGGAACCTTGTCTACCTATGTCCTTAGACCAACACGGCTACAACCTACACCCCTACCTACAAAAGGGCATTTTTAGAGTGGAGGCAATGAACACATGGTATGAAATGTGGGGCTTGTCTTGTCTTTCAGAAATACTGCTTTGGAAGTCTACCCCAGATTCTGGTTCTGCACTTGAAGAGATATCAGTTTGATTCTTTTACCGGGTTTAGAAAGCTGAGTTGTGTAGTGTCTGTGCCACTCTCACTCGATGTGGACAAGGAAGACCACCCTGTAAGTACATGGACTTTCTGCTGGATTCACCAGGGAGTCCATTTTCTGTTTCACCTAATAGAGCTAAAGATAAAAACCACTCAGTTATCCTGGTCTCATACAGACCAGTCTACCACTGCACAATACTCTTGTGTTGAACCCTTGAACCTACTGGGCTGAGCCTGGCTGTAAGGTTGGATATTCCATGAAGTGTCAGGAAGGAATCTGTCCTTTGGGCAAATCCACTGAACCCTACTGGAGCTCCCTTTGGAGACATGAGTTCATAACTCAAACTTGCTTGAACTCCCTGGCAGTGCCTCCCTGGCAGTGGTGTTGGGGTCAGCTGGTGAACACTGTTCCGAACTAACCCCAGTGGGGTTTGCCCATTCCCAGTGCACTGAGTAGTGCCTTACTGAAACAAACCTATAAACTGCAATTGTCATATTAGGGTAAAAAATAGGTGCTTATGCTGTGCAAATTTCTGAAGTCATAAGCACACAAAACCAGATGTCCTTCTTTTTCATAATCTGTTGATACTGATATAGTATAATCTTGCTGTTTTTTGTAAAGAAAGTGGCTTTCTTATTTCAATAATTTTTGTAGCTTATTTGATATTTAGAGGTCAGTTCCAAGGTCTCAAGAACATTTACAAGTGAAGGGAGGGAAATGCTGCCAGCCCAAATATCCTTGAAGTTAACCCTGTATACCTGATCTGAAGATGTGACCAAATAGGCTGTCACCTACAAAAGCTTTTGCCTCTATGACTGTGAGTCTGTAAGGTGCCATCCTGTGATACCTTCTGTCTGAGAGTCTTTGCAGTGCTAAATAGATGGCTAATATGAACCTTAACATGATTTCTTCCTAGGTACACTATGATCTCTATGCCATGTGTCACCATTTTGGAGGAATTCAGGGAGGCCATTACCTGGCTGAAATAAAGCCTATTGGAAATGATAGCTGGTATGAATTCAATGACAGCAGAGTGCGCAAGGTAATGGACCCTGGGTTTACATGAAATGTGTTACTCCTTGGGGTGTGTTTGGAGGACACTCCAAAGGGTCACTGTGGAAGTAGCCTTGTCTCTGGTGAAGTTGGCAGGAATTGCAGAGAGCAATTTCACCTGGGCAACCTCAAAAAATAATTTTACACAGACCAACATCTAGTTGGACAGTCTCTGGTTGATGTCTTGCAGCCCTGGATCTCTTAGCTATGGCTACCAGCAGCCGCAGAGATTTATCAAAAGGTGTGCTTATGTGTAGCTAGGAGGCAAATGCCTTCCTCAGCATTGTGTAAGTGCAGAGCAGATAGAGCTCATGAGGCTCTGGTAATGTGTTGATGCAGGTGAAATTCAGAGACCAGCTTAGACCAGAATTTAGACTAGAAAACTCCATCACACCCCCTGTTGCCCTGAGGAGCAACAAACCCTCTGGCAAATCCCAACCCGTGCTTGCATTAGGTATATGGACTCTGTTGCTTTGTTACCTTTTACTCTCTGCCCTTTCTGTCCTGGTTAACACTCACTTGCTGCATCTTGTTTTAAATAAGATTATCTGCAGCACTGAGCAAAGGCCCTATCACTTTGTGTTGTTTGTACAGGACCTGGAACAATGATAAGAACCTTTGGGTGCTAAAAAAAGGAGGAAACAAATGTTAATGTGTCCCCTCGTTTTTTGTGGTTAAAACCTGGTTGTCTTTTGGTTGCTTGCAATGCATGTTATGTTTGCTTCTCTGCCCTCCACACTGCTTTCACCAAAACTAAAGCCACTTTAGGGAAGGCTCAGGGTGCAGGGGAAGAGGCAGGTAGGGGACTGCCCAGGACTCGGTACTGGCTAGTTTAACCTCTGGTTCCTGGTAATTAAATTCCTTGCACCCTGCCTTGGGAAATCATCTTTTTTGTTCTCTTTTTGCAGATGCAAAAAGAAGAGATCTCTCCAGATGGCACGAACTGGTAATTTCATTTCCCATTCTGATGGGCTTTTCCTTGTTCTAGGTTGTACATTTGTATCATTCTTGGGTCCCGTTGGAGTGGATCAGTGCAGTCCCCTGAAACTTTCTTCTCTTCAGATGTTAGTTTTGAGCCATTTGTGCTCCCAGCATGAGTCAGGGCCTATCTAGAAAGCGGTTCCCCCAACAGCCCTGACAGTGTATGTAAGGAGCTGCAGGACTGTCCCTCAGTGACTAATGTATCAGTTGAGGATGGAGCACTAGATTTTTGTTTTAGGCATCTGTCAGTATAGTAAGGAAAGGTGGCTCTGGTATGTAACTTCTGGGTGGCGTAGATCCAGCCCCCATTTCCTTGGCATTGACTATGAGCTAGGAGGTTTGGTTCCAAGAGATGTGCCTTGTGTGATGTGAAAACATTGCCTTCAGGTCAGTGTACCTGGCCTCTGAGCTGCTTGGCTTGAGGAGGACTTTGCAAAAGATTGTCTTGTCTGCCCAGCATTCCCTCTTCTACCCTACTCACTGCAGAAGTACATCAGAGGCTGCTCTTCTTGGGAAGGTTTTTCCAGGCAGGTGTAACTCCATTTTCAGTTTCAGAGGTTTGATTCCAATAGATACTTCCTCGATCTAAATGTCAAAGCATTTGAGGGTCTCAAAAGATCTGAAAGTGCTTGTGTATCCAAGGATTGGGGCACTGTCTAAACAGTCAGAACCAAGTGTTAGGTGAGTGCCTTTATCAGGCCAAATCTTACTTGGCTTGGAAAGAATGAACACGGCAGGAGTCCAGACTGGGTGGGGGTGGTGCTAGAGTGAGCCCTCCTTTCCCTTCTCCACTGGCCAGAAGGCTGGAGGGAAGCTCAGGTGGGCTGGGAGAAGGGGAGATGGCCAGGTCCCAGCAGACCTGACTATGACTGGGGAGGGATCTAAACCCCTACCCTGGCCTGCAGGGACCCCAGCCAGGGTGTGCCTGGAGGAGGAGCGGGAAAGCATACCCTGCCAGGCTCTAGGGGAGGGGGAGGAAGTATGGCCAGACTCACAGCCAGCTGGGAAGGGCCTTGCCCCCATGGCCTGGCCTGGCCTGGCCTGGCCCCTCTGTACCCACCCTCAACAGTGTCCCCAGACTGGCCCAGCTCAGCCTCGGCCCTGAGTGAGGTGGGTGGATGGCAGGGCCATGCTGGCCAGCGTCTGTGGGAGTTGGGGGGGACCCTGACAGGGGCAGTAGAGTGCAAGCCTCTTCCTGGTTGAGGGCACTGTGCTGCGGGTGGGAGCGGGGTGGGCAGAGCTGCTGCAGCCCGCACAGGGCGAGCAGTGGTGGAGGCAGCACTGGGAGGGGTGGCTACAGGGTCCAAGGCAAATTTTGGGTGGCCATACCTCTCCAGCCCGCCCCCCACCTTATTGCTGCTGCCATGTAGCCCCCCATAGCCACCCCACCAAGCCCCACTGGTGCCACTGCTCGCCCCATGCAGACTACAGCAGTTCTGCCCACCCTGCTCCCACCTGCAGGGCAGCCCCTCACCGGGAAGAGGCTTGCATTGCCCAGGACACTGTCAGGCTGCTGCCCCTGTCAGGGTCCCCCTCCCCCTCTGCCACTCCAGCCACAGGGGCAGGGGCGGGGGTGTGGCCAGACACTGGTTGGCATGGCCCCCTGAGGCAAAGGGGGCAACGAGGGGGTGTATTCTCCCCTCCCCTTTCCCGTCTAGGGGCCGCAGCCATGGTCTGCCTGGCCAGAGCACAGCAACTCCTGTCAGGATGCACTCAGCTTGTGTGGGGGTGAGCAGCGGAGGTGTTAGCTGGGGCTGGCAGATCCCAGTTATGGTCCCTCAGTGGGAGTGGGGAATAAACTCCCTCCCTGCCCCCTTCACCTTTGGGGGCCATGCTGGCCAGCATCTGCCCATGCCCCCGCCCTGCCACTGGAACACTGGGGGCGGGCAGGAATGGGACATACAGACGGACCCTGACAGCATCTGCTGCACCCTGGCCAGGCAGACCCAGGGCTGCAAAGCATGCTGGGATGCTGGGAGACTCTGATTTAACTTAAACCAGGAAGGAAGGGGTCTGGGACAGAAGTTCCATAAACCAGTTTGGCCTTAATCAGTTAAGTCTGATATTACATTCAACTAGGTTTATCTCAAACTGGTTTCAGCCATTTTGAAACTGGTTTATGTGCACTGAGCTTCTGTTCTGTTACAAGTTTAAACCAGTTTCTGATCACTGAAACCAGTTTATGTGTAACTTCTGTCCCTAGCCAGGGAGTTTTTGTTTGGGCATGCAAAGTCTCTGGTTCATTAGATGCCAGGATAAAAAAAGGCTGTACTGGAAGTGCAGTCCCAGGCTAGGGGCAGAATAACTTTCTCCCCTAGTTGCATGAGGAGGCATCACTTGAAAATTGGAGAACAGAAGATGTGAGCAGCTAAGTTACACTGGTAAACTTATCTGAGGGACTCTACCATCTGAGGTTGTGAAGGTTCAATTCTGGTAATTTTGGAGTGAAAAATAAAGATAGGGAATTAGAAAAGATTTGCAAAATAAAACCATCATGTCAAAGATTAATCCCTGCTGCTTTCCAGTGACCCAAGTTTTCTGTCTCCTGGTCAGCTCAAAGGTACAGACCTGCTCACAGTTGTACCTTCAGATGCTCCGCCGAAATTTAAGGGGTGGGGATTTCTGTTCAGAGAAATGTCTTCTGAGGTTTGGGTTCTTGTCAATTTGTTCTCAGGCAGGGGCGACATGTAGGGGGTGTACACAGGTGCACGTGCACCCCCTGAGCATGGCGGTGACCCCCTGTGGGCAGTCGCTGCTCACCACCCCAGCCACTGATGTCAGTGGCATCTACAGGCAGTCAGTGACCCCCGCTGGCCGCTGCCGATGCTGCTGGCAGCATCTGCGGGTGGTCACCACCCCCTTTTCAGTGCTTGCCCCCCCCACTGACAGTACTGGTGGTGTCTGCAAGAGCTCCCCACTTATCGCCGCCAGGCTCCCGCCACTGCGACCATGCTCCTGCTGCCACCATGCTCCCTGAGCCGCTGGGGTCATGTGACATTCATGTTCTCAGGTTTAAACCAGGTTCCAGCCTCTACTACTTGGCAGGACTCTGACTCTCAGATTTTTAGGCCTTGCCCCAGCATTTGAACGTGTAACCATCCAAAAGTCTTCAGTGGCCTGTTGCAAGCTCTCTTGGAGTCTAGCCCAGTGAACAGGCCCTGTTGTAACTGTAGATTGATATGATTGTAATACTCTTGTTGTGTGTGAAGACAAAAATAAATCACTCCAGAATCAGGCCATTGCAAAGTTAAGGTGGGTCATTCCAGTGGTATGACAGTCTCTTGTATTAGATTATAAAATTGTATTAACTGGCAAAGCACCCTGGGGTATGTGTGGGGCAAAAGATGTGATTGCCCATTGGCCTAGGTATTCATAGGCCATTCTTGTGTTTCAGCGTGAGTACCACCGTGTATCTGTTAATGTACCGATGCCGGGTGGATCCCAGTGCTGGGTCAGGTAAGTGGTGTGTAGTTATTTACAATTTGCTGCCGAGAAGGATGTTATGACACCAGATCCCCTGGCCCATGTACTGCGAGAATTGTGTCCCATCACTATATTGGCTGGTGAGCTACTGCAGCTTGCTATGGGGAAGAGGGGCAGTGAGGAGCCTGTTCTATAAATACTTTTTTTTTCATAACTGGGTTAGTAGAAAGTGTCACTCTGGGAAGTATTTGGACCCTGCCACTTTCCTCCTTCCCCTTTTCCTGCTAGTCCCTTTGCTGCAGAAGCATCTCTTTCTGCTACTGAGTTCTGTAGGTTTCCTAACTCTAAATGTAGCAAGTAGAAAGCCTTTGTGCACTCTGCTGACTTGATGGATTGGAGAGGTGAGAGAACTTTAATTTTCCTCTGAAGCACTTCAGATTGTCCCTCTGCAGTTCTGAATGATATTCCCCCTAAAATGAGGGACAATCTACAAAAGGTTTTTGAGACCCGGCTAGACAAAGACTTGGCTGGGATGATCTAGTTGGGGATAGTCCTGCTTGGAGCAGGAGGTTGGATTAGATGACCTCCTGAGGTCCCTTCCAACTCTGATATTTTATGATTACAACATGGACCTTCCCACCCTCTCACTTGTCCTTTGTCCCTCTCACACAACCCAGGTGGACTTTATACTTGCATGGCTTGATCAGGCCAGGCCATGCTGCCAACTTTGCAGTTTCCTCGCTCAATTTTGTGTGTGTTCAGAGTCAGGGTTTGACACGAGTTTAAGCCCTCATAAATTTCAGTCTTAACTGGGGGGCTGTGGAGAAGAGTCCTTTCCAGCTGGTTGCCTGTCCCACATCCCTGCCTCCAGGAGGAACATCATCCAGCCAGAGGCCAGACAGAATTCAGCTCCCAGTTTCTCCAGTCAGCAGCCTCAATAAGTCTTCAGGTTGTGGGAGGGCTGTGGGAAGAGGGAGCAGTGAGGCTGTTGTCCTGGAAGAGATGTGGAAGTGGATATAGCCCAGCAGCTCTGGCTGGCTCCACTGCCTGCTGTGCACAACAGGTCCATCTGGTTTGGGGTCGTCTTCTTTCCTGTTCTATCTCATGTCCAGACCAGGCAAGAGAAGACTAAACTAAAAAATCTGTTGGAGCTGAGTCCTTGATCGGGTTGGGAAAGAGAGAAAAAGGTGTTCCCACTACATTTGCCCTCACCTTGGGCTGTGGGGGGAGAAGTAGAGTTGGAGCTGAGAAGGGGCGTGGAAAGGAGTGAAGGCTGGAGGGGTGCATAGTAAGCACTGGACTGAATGACTCAGTGAGGTGGAGGTGTGAGGTGGATACAATTAATTAAAAGTATGGGAGAACCCGGAACTCCCTGTCAGGCAGCGGGGAGAGTTGCAGCAGTGGTTGCCAAAGCACCACGTACTGACATAAAGCTGGGTGAACTGGTGCAAAGAATTGGGAGAGCTGTGCTATGGGTGAATCTGTGAGAAGTGATGAACCTGTTGGAACAGCGTGAACCAGGCAGCTAACAACTTTGTTGGGTTCTGGGAAAGAGCATGCTTCTGCTGTGTTGTGTGACTGAGGAGATGGACCTGGACTCTGGGGACAGGCAGTTGTCCTGTGTTCCAGCTCTCAGGGAGGGGAACTACCCAGGAGGTCCCGTACCCCAAGACTGAGCCTAGAACCTCCCAAGAGAAGGGCAGCACTTAAGCCCTGCTCAGATAGTAGAGGATTAGTATACCCAGGGACCCAGCAGCTGGGTGCATTGATGCTAATTTGACAAGTATCCAACAGCAACCACTCAGCCAGCGGCTGCATGCACGGAGGGGAGAGGTGCAGAGGAGCAAGATTGTGAGTTTGAGAAGCAGCAGGATGAAAGGTCACCTGGAGGGGAGAAGAAGATGCCATCGAAACTGGAAGACCAAAGGAAATGGAAAGACACGACAAGCAGCAATCTGAATTGGTATGTAGGAATAGACACTGGGCATCTGGTCTCTCAGAAGCTGTGACAGAGTTGGGGGTAACTTGAATGTGTCTCTACATGTTGTTTGTAGAAGCTTTAGTTCCTTTGGCCATTATAACTCTGGTTTGGTGGTTGTATAACTTCCAAATGTAACGTACACAGGAGAACATCATCCTCCCAACGTGTGAGGAGAACTTGGGCAGTAATGAGCCCTATAAAGAAGATCTCTCATACAATTCTACGTCAAATGAACCATCTGCTCTAACAAGAGATCATGGCAGGGCAGAGGGGACTGAATTTATGGGCTCAGTGTGGACTGAATTTGTGGGCTCCTATCATCAATAAGATGGAGATATGTGACGTTCACAGTGCTGAAGTCACATCCTGGTCCTCTACGAATGCTTTCGTGGTACCCCTGTGTAACAAGTGGGAGTCCCGAGGCTGGTCAAGTGACCCACTTGTGTCAGGGCTAACTGCCCACCTGCCATGACTTTGATGAAACCAATGTAAAGTTGTTAATAAGATGGGAGGCTGCCCATTTACTTGCCCTGATGCTGAGGGCGCATACACGGCTCCGAACCTCTCTTTATACTGTGTCCCATGCGTGCAGATGGCATCCATGGCCTAAATTTTATGTGGCCTAACACCTGGCCTATAATCCAGTGTCCTCACGTTGGGACTTGCACTCCAGTGCCTCACTTGGGCTCTCAATTTCACTTGCTCAGGACTCCCAGACCCTCCCTTTTCCTTGGGCTCCCTGACTAGCTTTGGACCCTTTCGGTCCCCTCATGCCCCCACACTGGGGCCTTAATCCCCTTGCCCGACACTGGGCCTCACACCCAGCTCCTTCTTGGGGCTTAGAATTCCAACGCCCTGGAGCCTCACACTGGTTCTCTGTATGTGTCTCAGGCCTTGCTGTGGGCCTGGGCTGTCTTGGGCCCCTTCATGACCTGGACCCCACCTCAGGCTCTGCACAGTTAACCTGGGCCCTTGCTTTGTCTTCGGGGTGTGCTCCCCTAGCCTTTACCTTTGTTAGAAATTGTGAAAGAGGTTTCCTTCTCTAGCAACACAGGAAGCACAGCCTGCACCTTCAGGTGCCCACAACTTTCCCCATAGTGACTAGGCATGATAGACAGGCTTGGCAGCAGACCTGTGCCTTATTTGGTAAAATTGTTTAAAATTATATTGTGATTGGAGTTTACGCCGCAGGTTAAAGAAGAGTTATGCAGTACTAGTAATCTTCCGCTAAAGCTTTGTGCTTGCGAAAATCTCACGTAACCAGGGAATATAAATACGTGTGTGAGACTGCAACCGGGGCCCCTCTGCCTTTCTAAGGTCGGGGGACCTTCGGCCGAATAAACTGGAAAGACCACCCCCTCATCTCCTGCTTATTTGAGTCTCAGCTGGGAAACGAGCCCTGTTGGGGTCAGGAGTATTCACAGGTGTTCCCTTACCAGGTTGGGAGCTTAAGCGAATAATTTCTCCAACACCTTTCAAGGGGTGACCTGTAAGGCAGCGAGGGCTGAGGCTTTCTGGTGCCCCATACTCAGCCTGCGCTGAGGAGGCAAAGGTGTGGCATTTCCTGGGGACTGCCCTGCCACTGGCAGCCCTAGCACACCATCCAGCCCCAGCAGAGTGTAGTTTTAAGTCATGCTCCAGGACCAGGAACCACCTGCCATCCCCATAGTTCCTGCACTGCACCTTCAAAAGGTTATGTGAACAGCAACTCAAGCCAGGTGATGTTCTCCCTTTGGCTGCTAGCAGCAAACTGCTGGCTCCACTGCTCAGAGCCCTGTGCTAGGCCCTGTTGCCAATTAGGCAGTTATGCCTGATTGGGAGTGCAGCCACCTGCAGGCTGCTCTGCTGTTTGCCCATGCCCCTGTGAGTAACAGAGCACAACTTACGCTCTGTTACAGCCAGTAAGTGAGGGAGGCGCAAGTCAAGGGAGAAGCCAACACTGTGCCTGCTTTGGGCAAAGGTCAGGAGGAATATATGAGGCAAGAGAGAAACTTCTCCCAACCTCCAACACCAAGCCAGAAGCCCCAGTCAGTGTGGACAAAAAAGAAAGTCCTGGAGCTCTGATGAAGAAATCAGAAGAAATTCCTTTTTGGGGGAAGTGACCTAACAGTTGCCAGCCCCATGAGTCTGATTAAGCATCCTGAACCATGTGGGGTCCCAAGAATGCCTAAGGGAATAGAGAGCTATATCTCTTTGTGATTTATATTCAAGCACAATGTGATTGGCCACTTTGTGCCCCCCAGTGCATGCATGGCTACTTCCATTTATCACTGGCATCCTAAAAAGTTAAATGATGATCCAGGTGGCTTGCAGCTGTAGTGTGCTCTGGGAAAGGGCAGGCTTCTGAGAGGTGTCTGAGGAGATGTACCTGGGCCCTGGGGACAGTGAGGCAGATGTGGGTCTCCACTCCGCAGGGTTCTGACTACAGAAAGATCTGTAGTCTAGAAATGAGCCTAGAGACCCTGAAATAGCAATAATGCCTAGGCCATGTCCTCATTCTAGTGGCTTAAGACATCAGAGTATCCAGCTGTGAGGTCCACTGATGGCAGATCGGGGCGGGGGGAGGAATAATGGTGGGGAACTCATCCAGATTTTGCCACTGTTGCATCTGGTAAGTGGTAACAGTAATTAACACCCTCCCCACTTCCAAAGTAGGGCGGAGCAGGGCAGGGGGAGGTCAAAAGTCAAATGATGGACTGGGGAATACAATCTAAATTTTTCTTGGCTCTTCTCATGGTGTTTTGGGGTCTGAAATGTGATTTTTGAACTCCTGGGGGGTCACAATACTACATGTTTCTCTGCCTTTATTGTAATAAAATACTTTTAAGAATCTGCTGAATCTCATACTTGTAAATGCGAGAGTGTTTACCCTAACCCTAACCCTTGTGCTCAGCCTGGAGGTTGAATGTGTTTCAAAAAGTCAGCGGCCTAAAATTAATGGCTAAAGTACTGCTAGAGACCCACACAAAGCACTCTAATGCATTCATCTGCAGCGAGAAAGAGGCAGCGTCTGCTCAGAGGACTCCCTGCTCCCAGCAGAACTGCCTCCAGGTCAAAGGAGCGCTGTGAGGTTTTACATGAAACTCGGTATGTGTGTAAAGATGTGTATGTTACACATAGAAATTGCCATCTAGTGGCAAATAAGGATAATAGCATCAGTGGAATGTTCGTAAGCAGGGATCCGGGCTTTCCATTCACAACGGAAAAATGCGGTAAAACATGGATTTTCTCATTTCAAGGAGAAAAACACAGGAAATAATGGGTTTCCCCTTGCAGGCTGGCAGAGTTCCAGCCTACAAAGGGCTGGGGGGAGCAGGAGGAGGGCAATCGGGCAGGGGGCACCATGTGAATGTGCACATGCACGTATGCATGTGGCAACCAGGCAGTGAGGTGAGCAGCTCCCGCAGGTAAGTTAGGGGGAGGGGGAATTGAGGCCCCCATAGTGAAGGAGAGAGTTGGGCAGGGCTGGGACTGGGGGCGCTGCCCAGCTGGGGTAGTGTTTGGGGCCCAGGGCTGAGGCAGGAATGTGCGGCCACAGGGCCTGAGCGGGAAGCAGGATGGATCTGTGTGTGGCTCGTCTGAGGGGTGTGGGGGGGAATGGTTTCCTGCCACTGTGTGCAATCCCAAGGGTGTATGGGGGCACATACCCACCAGATTTGTGCATGGCGCAGAGTCAGGCTGGCAGCTGCACACTGGAGGCTTCCCACCCTCCTGCCCTCCTCCTGGGGCCTCTGCAGCCCAGCAGGCAGGATCTGGCATGCCAGGGCACAGCAGGGCAGGGAAGCTTGGTGCCGCCTCTAGGAGCCCTGCACCGCCATGGTGAAGTGCCTCCTGCCCGCCTGGCAGCAGCGGGGTTGGTGATGTGGAGATGTGCCCTATGCTAATGCCAGGTGGGCGGGGAGCGCCATGCCATGGCAGCATGGGGCTCCCAGCGGTAGCACTGAGCCTTCCTGCACTGCTCTGCCCTGCTGCACCGGGTTCTGCCTGCTGGGTTGCAGAGGCCCTGGGGGAGGGCAGCAGGGTGGGGAGCCCCGAGTCTGCAGTGGGTAGCTTGCATTCACCTCCTCCCCTGCCCGCCCCCCACAATGGGCTCTGCTTCAGCCATGCCACCTGTGAGGGAGGGGGAGCTGGGTTCCATGCTCTTTTCGGGCCACAGCAGCCACTGCCTCCCATGGGTGGCAGCTGGGGCTCGGGTGCTGCTGTGGGGGGAAGGGGGTTCTGGACCCAGGTCCCTGGCCCTGTAGCCCTGGTAACCAGGGCTCCCCTCCAGCAGGGGTGGCTGGGAGCCCGTGGGGAGTGAGGGGCACCAGCAGGGGTGGGAGGAGGCTGTGAGTTGTGAGTGAGGGGCAAGGGCATAAGCAGGGCACTGGCATATCAGGGCTGCTCAGTGCCATAAAGCAGTTGCGGGCGGGGGGGGAGGGAGGCAGGAGCATCCACAGTTGAACTCGAGTCCTGGTGAGTGAAGGGGACAGGGGGGATTTGATTTTTCCATGATAAAATACCCAAAATCAAATGCCAAAATTTATAGGTATTTAGAATTTATTTTATTATAGTTATTGAGGCACTGGTAGGCTTCCAAATTGCTTTAAAATTGTAAATACATCAATAAAACATTGTGTTCAGCTGACACCTATATATATAGCAGTGTTTTATTTTAATCATGGAAAAACACAAATTGTGGGTTTTTTTAATCAGAATTTGTGATTTCTTTTTTTTTTTAATGGAGAAAACCAGGATCCCAGTGTAGGTTCATTAAAATTGCTATGCACAGTGAATAGCCCCCTGCGTGCAGTTCTTAACCTGCTGTTCAGAGAGAAAGAGGATCTTGCATTTTAGTTGTCTGTTGTGGCAGAACACAGTCACTTCAGTAGAGGCTGTGACATCCCACTCCCTGCCAGGATGCAGATGTGTGGGGATATTGGTATCCAAAAGTGTGTTTATGTTTGCTTCCACCCATGACACTCCTTATGAAGAGTTAATGTGTGAACAAGGAGGCTCCAATGTATTCTGGGAAAGGACATGAAAACTAAAGCTTCTTTGGGACCTCTTGGACAAACTTTGAAATGGTTGCAGGACTTGATAAAGTAACCAGGACAAGTGGAAGGGCCATAGTTAAGGAAGGGATATATCAAGTCTGCTTTCTAACTTACCTGGATATAAAGGTGAAGACACCTTGGCAATGAAGATTACTAGCAGGGACCTGGTCACCTAGGAAATGTCTGATCAGGGAATCGCCAGACACAGAGACCAAAAATGGAGGAGCAGGAGTAGAGTGATCCAACCTTTTTGTTTGAGGCTCAGTGTTGTAAAACTGCATCTAAATTCTGAGGTGATCTAAGAAAATGCTGTCTAGTAGGCCTGTACAAATACGGAAGTGTTCGATTTGGATTTGGATTCCGCTGATTCAGAGGACAGTGATTTCATTCAAATTGATTTGGCTGAATTGGCTTTGGAAGATTCAGCACTGATTTGAAGATTGCAGCCATAGACTATAATGGGGAATCACTGAAATACCTATAACTTTGTCATTTGTTGGCAGATTTGAATGAAAATAGCGGGGAGGGTGGCCCCTTCTGAGGGCATGAAGCCTGCCAAGTTTCAAGGAGATAGGTGCAGGAGTTTCTGGGAAACTGCACCTCAAACTGTTCAAAGCAAAACTCGTGACGTGTGAATCCGTGTGTGTTAAGGCACAGCGGGATGAAAACAGCAGGGATGGTAGCCTGTTACAGGGGGCCTTCCCGGTGCTGGTTAGATCTCCGTCCACCCACCTGTTTCTGGACCAGCCGCCTGCCCCTCCTTTGCTCAGGTAGAAACAGCTCACAAAAGGGACAGAAAGGCTGCAGACAGAGGCTTATATGCTGTTTCTACGTTCCTCCCCCCAGAGCACTGTGATTGGAAGGGGACTCAAAGAAAGATCACAGTTACAGATGTCAGTCTTTCCCCTCCTCCCTCTTCTCAGTTTCTGTTCCCCTGCAAGACTGCCTTCTGAATTGCTGAATCTGCGAATCTTTTTCCAAATCCGAATCAATTTGGAGGGGGGGTTTTTGTGTCTCAGTTCGGTTCAGATTTGGTGATTCAGCCTCCGAACTGGGCTGAATCTTCTCTGAATTGAATTGGCGACCGAAGCTTCGCACACCCCTACTGTCTAGCTAAATGTGATGTGGGATTGCATATCACAAGCTTAATGAGAGTAAGCAGTATTACATTCCCACCTCCCCCCCCCCCCCCAACAAAAAA